GAGAGAAGAATACAGACAGACAGATAGATAGATACATAGACCGAAGAGAACGAGAGAGAGAGAGAGAGAGAGAGAAGAATACAGTCAATAGACAGATAGAGAAGGGGGGAGGGGGAGGAATGATAGCCTCTTCCCCCACTCCCCCCCCCCATCCTTGACTCTTGGCGCGAAAGGTGATCCAAGAATGGTGAAGCGAAAGATATTTTAATGACGGCCGACATTTTGCGGTGCAGAATCACTGGAGAATGTGGCAATATATATATTTTTCCCTCCTCTCTCTCTCTCTCTCTCTCTCTCTCTCTCTCTCTCTCTCTCTCTCTCTCTCTCTCTCTCTCTTTATCTATTTCTTTCTCTCTCTCTCTCACTCTCACTCTCACTCTCTCTGTCTCTCTCTCTCTCTCTCTCTCTCTCTCTCTCTCTCTCTCTCTCTCTCTCTCTCTCTCTCTCTCTCTCTTTCTCTCTCTCTCTCTTTCTCTCTATCTCTCTCTCTCTCTCTCTCTCTTCTCATCTTTCCATCTTCACTTGTGTGTGCTAAACCGGGCCACATACAAGATTTAGGCAGAGGTCGTCTTTGATTTTTTTTTTTTTTTTTTTTTTTTTTTTTTTTTTTTTTTTTTTTTTTTTTTTTTTTTAATACAGACCCCCCCGTCTGTATTCAATTTCTCCCACTCACTTATTGCCGATTGTAAAAGCATTCTAATGAGCTCCCTTAACCTCTTGCCGACGGGCATGCCATGCCCACTGTGAGTCGACTTGTTTGATTGTTTTTGCACATAGATGGCTACACTTGTACTAAGTCACTAGTGAGCCAATTACGAGTACTGCCTGTCTCGCCCGTTCACCCTTTTCATCGATTTACGAAAATATTCAACGTTATCTTATTTTGCTGTTAAAAATAACACCATCTATATTTGTAGCACTAGTAAGAATACGTTTTTTTCCCCGCCAATTCAATGAAAGGAGAAATCAGGACTAGCAGAGCCATCTATGTACAGAGACATTTCACAAAAATATAAAAAATGAGCACAGCATTTTCCCCATTTTTTTATTCATTTTCCCCGGTGGCAATGGATTCCATTCATGCTCTTCACTTAGTGCTAAAATGAGACTTCCCTTTCCTATAGTACTATAGTGACACGCACCAATAGTTTTAATAATGACACGCCTCATAGTGACACTCCCCTATAGCATTATAGTTGCACTCACCTATAGTAGTATAGTGACACGCCCCTGTAACATTATAATTACACGCCCATATAGTATTAATAGTGGCCCTCCCTTGCAGCATTATAGTGATACACCCTATATCTTTATAAACGCCCCTATGGCATTACAGTGACACGCCCTTATGGTATTGTAGTGACACCTCTATAGCATTACAGTGACACGCCCTTATGGTATTGTAGTGACACCTCTATAGCATTATAGTGACACCTCTATAGCATTATAGTGACACCTCTATAGCATTGTAGTGACACCTCTATAGCATTATAGTGACACCTCTATAGCACTATAGTGACACCTCTATAGCATTATAGTGACACCTGTATAGCATTATAGTGACACCTCTATAGCATTATAGTGACACCTCTATAGCATTATAGTGACACCTCTATAGTATTATAGTGACACCTCTATAGTATTATAGTGACACCTCTATAGCATTATAGTGACACCTCTATAGCATTATAGTGGCACTTCCCTATAGCATTAACAGTGACACACCCCCATAGCATTATAGTGACGCTCCCCTATAGCACTGATAGTAGTATAGTGATACGCCCCCATAGTATTATAGTGACACTCCCCTATAGTACTATAGTGACACACCCCGGTAGCATTAGAGTGACACTCCCTTATAACATTATAGTGACACCCCCCCCCATAGCATTGCAATGACACTCCCTTATAACATCAATAGAGACACACCCCTACATAGCATTATAGTGATGACACACCCTTTTAAACAGGACTATAGTGAAACAGCCTCCCTTTCTCTCCGCACTATCGTGACAGTGAGGCTTCTTGAAATGGTCTTGACGTTTTAATAGTGGAATAAATGGAGCCCCTTTTTCGCTCTCGTTGAAATGTCAAGTAAGCAGCCTCTGTTACAAGGACGACCTTCGTTGGAGGTTGGAGGGTGACTGATTTTCGGTAAAGAGGTTGTTTTTTTTTCTTCTTCTTCTTCTTCTTCTTTTCTTTTTTCTTTTTCTTGCTTCTTCTTTCTTTCTTTTTTTTAATACTTTTTCTTTTTCGTTTTCGTTTTCTTTTTCTTCCTTTCTTCTTCTCCTCATTCTTCTCCTTCTTCTTCTTCTTCTTCTTCATCTTCTACTTGGGAGGGTGGAGGAGGTCTTTTATTCTCTCTTTCTTTCTCTCTCTCTCTCTCTCTCTCTCTCTCTCTCTCTCTCTCTCTCTCTCTCTCTCTCTCTCTCTCTCTCTCTCTCTCTCTCTCTCCCCGTCTCTTTCCGTCTCTTTCCGTCTCTCTCCGTCTCTCTCCTTC